GTCGAACGATAAAACATCCACTACAGTAAACAGTCAATTAAACGTCCTGTCGAACGATAAAACATCCACTACAGTAAACAGTCAATTAAACGTCCTGTCGAACGATAAAACATCCACTACAGTAAACAGTCAATTAAACGTCCTGTCGAACGATAAAACATCCACTACAGTAAACAGTCAATTAAACGTCCTGTCGAACGATAAAACATCCACTACAGTAAACAGTCAATTAAATGTCCTGTCGAACGATAAAACATCCACTACAGTAAACAGTCAATTAAACGTCCTGTCGAACGATAAAACATCCACTACAGTAAACAGTCAATTAAACGTCCTGTCGAATGCTAAAACATCCACTACAGTAAACAGTCAATTAAACGTCCTATCGAACGACAAGACAGTCAAACTTAGTAAATTTTCAAGTAAATGCACTGTGGGACGACACGACCATCAAACTTTGTCAATTTTCGATTAAACGCCCTGTGTAACGACACGACCGTCAAACAAAGTAAAATTTTAATTTAACGTCTTGTCGAACGAAAAGACCTTTAGTAAATTTTCCATTATACGTCCTTTAATGTAATTTAATGCACAGTCGAACATTAAAACGGTCATTATAAGTGCTTTATTTTCCATCAAATGTCCTACAGTCACCTTAACTAAATTTTCCATTAAATGCCCTGTCGATTGATAGCACATAATCACCGTTGGTTAATTTTCCATTAAACATCCTGTCCAATTTTCCAATTAATATCCTGTTGACGGTTAGCCGGTCACCTTTGGTAAATTTCAATTAAATGTCCTGTCGAACAGTAAGATGTTCACTCGAAACCTTTCATAAAATGCATAGAAAATACAAATGCCATTAAGTGTCACGAAGGTTATGACGCATTGGCAATGGATGTATAAATTGAAGATAATATTAAGAAATGACATTATTTAAAGCATGTTAAACAAAAGTTATGATATGTAAACAAAATAATTCGACACATAATTGAATTGTTAAAGATTAAAAACAAAACAACGTTAAGAGACAAATTATACAACTCTGGTAAGGCTGTAAAAATCTGAGTGGATAGTATTTAAAGGAATCTTGCTCATGAAAGTCTTATAAAGATTACTGGATCTTTCCTATAACACGTGTCTTGTAAAGGTTATATAATTACATGCCTCGGTAAACTTTTGGCAATACAGTAGACTGGTCCACGCCTACAATATCACCAGCTGGTGTGTTCTGGTCACATCTAACCATATTCTGACTTGGCTTTTTAATGGATATAGAAACCTTAAAATAATGTAACCTTACTCGAGCTCTTTAGAGTCTCCTATATACATTATTTAATTATTTTCTGATCTAACAGTCGAGGTACATTAGCCCTAAATCTAGATGGATAAGTGGAACCAGGAGAACAATGGGGTACCTGCTCTGAAGAGGACAGCTTGCCAATATAAGCTCGGTGACCAGGCTATCTGTAGTAAAACCATACTATAATTTATAGAATTGTACTCCTTGAGCTCAAGTCGAAAAAGACCGGAGGGTTGGAACTGAAAGTGACAGTAATATAGCGGAAACATTGCACAATAGGGTGTTAGATATATCTACATGAAAATCGGAGCACATTTAGTCAACATTAATAACAAATGTAGTAAAAACAGAGACATAAACAATTCAAGATCTGACAATCGGAAACAAAATTTCACGTTCAAATGTACATATCTGTCAATAATAGATATAAGATTTGAAAATATGCCATTTTCTTCAACAACAAGCAAAGCTATCGATATAAGAACACTCTCTGTGCCAGTCTAAAATATCGTAAGATCGTATTTATCATCAGTGACTAATATATAAACAGTAAATATAACAAAATAAGAACTCAATTCCCCGTACTGCAGGGAAACATCTTATGTTCCAATAAAAGTGAAACCCTGAGCCTACACACAATCAGCCTTAGTTCGAAAGTGTGGAAAATTGGGGTTCAAGCTAATGTTAACTTACCCATATCAAACCACCCACACCTGGATTTCCTTCAAACTTTGCATGTTTGTAGTATATAAGTGGAATATACACTTGGATTTTATCTTTTAGATCAAAAAGGCCCAAAGGGCTGACATATTCAGCGAACTGACCATATGTCAAATAATGCATCGTTTTTTAAAGATTGTTTATCATTTCCTTTATCAAATTTGTATTGATATATTGGTATACAGATAGTTTAGGGGGAGAAATAGTGAAATTTTAACATTTTCCAAACAAGACTATTATATATATATAATTTGGTATGAAACAAAGTCTGTCCACCATTGTTATTTACTAACAAATTAGTGTCAAGAAGTCTTTTATCATCAGATAAAATTGGTAAAGAATTGAAATTCGTGAAAGTATTTTTCTAACTACTTATCAATACACGATCATGGTGCAACCTTTTGTATTTGAGAAAAGTGTCTCCAGTTTAAAAAACAACGTAAAAAGGTAATGCTGGTATAGTCACATGTTACGTCATTATTTAAACATTATGATGTGTAAATATCATTTGTTGTCAATTATATAAAAAATGTCATTCTATTTTTCTCCAGGATTTGAATAATACTTATCAATGTAGTTACTAAAATAATATCTTATCGTAAAGATTGTTTTCATAGAGTATAACAATGTATTAACCCTAAACAAGCCAATGTCTCTTTATGTTGTAAGTCAGTATCCAAATGTTATCAACAGTTGTTTGATTGGGACATAAATATTAACTAAATTGGTCTTTGTTGAGCAACATCTAAATATATCATGTTGTTATCAACCGTTGTTTGATTGGGACTTAAATATTAACTAAATTGGTCTATGTTGAGCAACATCTAAACATATCATGTTGTTATCAACCGTTGTTTGATTGGGACTTAAATATGAACTATATTGGTCTTTGTTGAACAACATCTAAACATAAATATTTGTTTAATTATAACTTAAATATTAACTAAATTGGTCTTTGTTGAGCAACATCTAAACATATCATGTTGTTATCAACCGTTGTTTGATTGGGACTTAAATATGAACTATATTGGTCTTTGTTGAACAACATCTAAACATATCAAGTTGTTATCAACACTTGTTTAATTATAACTTAAATATTAACTAAATTGGTCTTTGTTGAACAACATGTAAACATATAACGTTGTTATCAACAGCTGTTTAAATGGGACTTAAATATCAACTATATTGATCTTTGTTGAACAACATGTAAACATTTTAAGTAATTATTCATATGAGTAAACCTTGGTGTCATTTCTCATTGTGCCTCCACATGTATTATTCAAATGAATACCTGCCAAAAGACAAGCCTTGTGAATGTCTATACTTTATATTTGATATGTAAAATAAGACCAGTACTAAATGAACACCTGAATACCATATACCTTAGGCATAGCTGACAACAAAAGGCACAATCAATTCGTGTAGATGTAAACAGGTAACACATTTTATGCAAAACTGTGATTTTATGGCAGAAACATGGCTTGTGTTGGCCTTGTCCATGTCATATATAACATTGATTAATATCATATTACCTCCGTCTATTTTTACATGTACGTTACATTATGTCACATTCACACAAAACATCAAATTAGTGTAGATCATAACGGCAGTTTTATTATTCATCAAGACTTTAAGAATGTTTGACATCATTTCTATAGCTACTCACTACCTATGCAAGAAATGTAATTTCCTGACTTTGATTTTTTTCCGAAATTAATTGTGTGTACAGAGGAATCACATAATCATTTTTTAAAATAGTTTTAAATGGTGGACAAAGATTATGACACGATGTTTTGATTACTTAAATTTCACATCTGCGATCTGATAAATTGAAAAATATTTCGCTTTTCGCCCCTGGGTAACTTGTGAGTAAATTTATTCCAAAATGATAATTATTGATATGGAAGTAACTAACATCTCCAACAAATCTGAGAGAAAAATAGACCCTAAAATATAGACAAAAGGTATTCTTGCAACACTTATCGATATGTTTTGAAAAAGTGAATCACAGGTCCCCTGGACCGTATACATTTCAAAACTGGAAAATGAATAACATATGTTCAGACATGTTTCAGTGTATTCTAAAATACTGCAAAGTTTTTAAAACAATCGGAGGGTGGGTGGTTTTTGAAACCACATCTTTTACAAATATAGAATACAGGAAAAATATGAGTAGTTATGATTACAAAATATCCACTAGTCTAAAGGAGAATTTTGTCTTAGTGGACAAGAGAAAAAAAAATAGTCCGCAAAACGTTTGTCTTACTGGGAGGGTATATTAAATTAAACCAAGGTAATACATAGTGATAATAATACTCAGCTCTTCAGCCCTGTTGAACTGACGTCTGGACTTAAAGTAATGTCACGTGACTTTGTTTGAAACCAAATTGCCTAAATAGACGCTGTTAATCGGATATACATGTACATATATGTATAATATATATAAAGTTGACAGTCGATAATAAATCATACATTCAGAAGTATGTACATATATATGTGCACACGTAGAGAAAAGAAGTGAAAATTTGAAAATGTTTAAATCGCGAATAATACCATTTTGAACACTGTAAACAAATCTACAAGCCATTTCCTTACACGAACCTAAAGCAAAAGTCAGCATGTGTTACATAATATCTATGTACAAATCAGACATATGTGTCAGTCTTGACATGCTTCTCAAACATTCGCCAATGGTCAAACAAGTTGTGGTCAAAATCCACGATGTATTCGATTTAGCAGGATCTGAAGAATCACATGTTAAGATATCATTAACAGACGTACCTCACACATTCCCATTTGTACGTGAGCCATTATAATTGTTTGTCCAGATATGTCTCCTCTCATTCTGGCATTTTACCACTTCAAACATGTACAACGTGTGTAATCGGTTTCCTCCGGATTTCACTGCACTTTCTGATAGTAACATCACAATACTAGGCAAGAGACGTGAAAGCACCGCGAAATTTGGCAGGCACTACGAGACTTCACAGTCGTTTTTATTCCTAGACGATCTTTTCACTTTTGGCTTACTTCCTCTTCTTATCAGGCTTCGACTCCTGAAAAACTTCTTCTCCTCTGGCGGTGTTTTTGGCTCAGCTTCTTGGTCCGATTGTTCCAACGAATGAGAGCTCAACCGTCGTGTCAGAAGACTAAACTTCTCCGGTAGTTTCGAACGTGGAACTTTCAATTGCTCAAACAGAATCTTGAATATATCTGTTATACATTCGTCGTCCTTTGCAGAAACCTCTACGAAAGCGCCCCCTAGATTATCATTGTATGCCCAGTTTAACGCGTCGAACTTCTCCACTTGTCGGTTATTCTCCATGTCAATACAATTAGCTACAATGACACACGGAATCTCTTGGTAATTCTCACGCACTTCTTTGATGTTTTCCCACAACTGTTTGACCTCAACAAAAGTTGCTTCATTTGTTAAAGAATAAACTAGAACGAACGCATGCGCATTAGCTATTGATAGTCTGCGCATAGCCGGGAAGGCAATATTTCCGGCGGTATCAAGAAAATCCACCTTTAAATGATTTCCTTGAACGTCATATTCTCGACTGTATAAGTCTTCTACTGTTTCTTTATATTCACTAGAGAATGTACCGTGTAGAAAACGTTTCAAAATAGAGCTTTTACCCACGCGTCCGGCTCCTAGAAACACAATCCGATTTCTTTGATCCATATCCGCCATTATATGACTTGATGCGATTTTCAGTGACTCGAAGTTTTTACCAGCAGGATTGTCTAATACACTTCTATTTCAAATAACAAAAGCCATTCTGTTACTCCTTGGCAGGACAGAACAAAGCGTTTTCAAGTTCCAAGAAAAATAGGAATGTTGTAAGTTCATACCGACCTTCCTCCGACAGGAAAACTTAAAACTATTGATCAGTACAGCAGGCTGTCGTGAATGTGATACTTGAAATTATAGCAGAGTGGGCGTGGCTCTCCTCACACCTGTTTCAATCTCCGTGTCGTTGTATAATTCACACCTGAAAAAGAGGAAACAGCAGGTTATGTAAAATTTATAGCATTAAAAAAGGAATATGTCGGGTTAGGATTTGATTCATAACACACAATCGACAGGTGTTTAATTCTTCAACTCGAGGATGGCCATTTAAAATAAAACAGTCTATGCGAAACGTCAGACGGATCGAGTTACTAGCATCTAAAAGATAGAAGGGTGCAAAATCGATACCAGCAAAATAGGAATGAAAGCTATTACATATCAACAGCATGATCATATATAGGCTTAAATAGATACTTAACATCACATTTATATCCATTTAATATATGCTCTTTATATTTAGATATGACTATATAAATATGTCTTAAAAGGTTATTTAATAAACTTCTTCACAACAGCTACTATGTTTTAACGTCAAGGTAAAGCATGCAACCTAACCAAACTCCAACAGACTCAGCACAAAACCTTGTATTTAAACTAAGTCCACACAAAACCTTGTATTTAAACTAAGTCCACACAAAACCTTGTATTTAAACTAAGTCCACACAAAACCTTGTATTTAAACTAAGTCCACACAAAACCTTGTATTTAACTCCCCCCTCCCTCCCGCCTCAAAAAAAAAAAAAAAAAAAAAAATCCAAACTCAACCTTGTACCCAAAACAATTCAATACAAATTCAGCAATAAAGGAAGCAAACATCTACGTGTCTATATGACACAGATCAACCAAGCTACCCGTAAACATCTACATGTCTATATGACACAGATCGACCAAGCTACCCGTAAACATCTACATGTCTATATGACACATGTCAGCCAAGCTGTCCGTAAACATTGTCATGTAAATATGACACAGATCAACCAAGCTGTCCGTAAACATCTACATGTAAATATGACACAGATCAACCAAGCTGTCCGTAAACATCTACATGTCTTTATGACACAGATCAACCCAGCTACCCGTAAACATCTACATGTCAATATGACACAGATCGACCAAGCTACCCGTAAACATCTACATGTCTTTATGACACAGATCAACCAAGCTGTCCGTAAACATCTACGTGTCAATATGACACAGATCAACCAAGCTACCCGTAAACATCTACTTGTCAATATGACACATATCAACCAAGCTACCCGTAAACATCTACATGTCAATATGACACAGATCAACCAAGCTACCCGTAAACATCTACTTGTCAATATGACACATATCAACCAAGCTACCCGTCAACATCTACATGTCAATATGACACAGATCAACCAAGCTACCTGTAAACATCTACATGTCAATATGACACAGATCGACCAAGGTGTCCGTAAACATCTACATGTCTATATGACACAGATCGACCAAGCTGTCCGTAAACATCTACATGTCAATATGACACAGATCAGCCAAGGTACCTGTAAACATCTACGTGTCTATATGACACAGATCGATCAAGCTGTCCGTAAACATCTACGTGTCTATATGACACAGATCAGCCAAGGTACCCGTAAACATCTACATGTATATATGACACAGATCGACCAAGGTGTCCGTAAACATCTACATGTCTATATGACACAGATCGATCAAGCTGTCCGTAAACATCTACATGTATATATGACACAGATCGACCAAGGTGTCCGTAAACATCTACATGTCTATATGACACAGATCGACCAAGCTGTCCGTAAACATCTACATGTCTATATCATAGCGAATCGACAGCTACTACTAAACAACTAGGCATCACTTCACGTCATTACTAGACAGTATATAGAACTGTCGTTTCTGTAATTGTTGGAGCTCGAAGTTAATCACAGAAGCCGAGATAAATACATATTTATTTCTATGTTTTCTTTAACATTAATTGTCTGAGCTAATGGAATTCGAGACCCCCGTAGCATGCTAATATAATTCTGTACGTGGTAAGTCCCATAGAGATATCTATAGCTACACTATTAAATGTTCTCGACCGGAACCATCTTGCACATGTTTCCAATTCCAAATATGATTCCCTGCACAAGAATAAGATTTCAAAAAAAAATTATAATGAAGAAATATGTTTTTTAACTAACGTTGAAAATTGGAATGGAAGTATGTTTAAATGTACTGACGAAACAATACATACCAGTGACTTGGTGGTACTATCATAATGTGTTTACAATGACGGACAGGAAATCATACAGGTATTCTGCATTGAATAGTAACGCATTGAAAGCATCTTGATATGGGCATGATCTATTGAATACAAAAGGTGTGTTTAATGGACACGAAGGTCGGGGTGTAATGAATGAGAAGGGAATGATTTAATGGATACGAAGGGTGCGGTGAAATGAATGAGAAGGTAATGGTTTAATTGACATGAAGGGCGCGGTCTAATTGATGAGAAGGGAATGGTTTAATGGACATGAAGGGCGCGGTCTAATTGATGAGAAGGGAATGGTTTAATGGACATGAAGGGCGCGGTCTAATTGATGAGAAGGGAATGGTTTAATGGACATGAAGGTCGTGGTCAATTGGATAAGATGGTAATGGTTTAATGGACATGAAGGGTGCGGTGTAATGAATGAGAAGGGAATGGTTTAATGGACACGAAGGGTGCGGTCAATTGGATAAGATGGTAATGGTTTAATGGACATGAAGGGTGCGGTGTAATGAATGAGAAGGGAATGGTTTAATGGACACGAAGGTTGCGGTCTAATGAAAGAGAAGGGAATGGTTTAATGGACACTAAGGGTGCGGTCTAATGAAAGAGAAGGGAATGGTTTAATGGACACGAAGGGTGCAGTCTAATGAATGAGAAGGGAATGATTTAATGGACATGAAGGTCGGGGTGTAATGAATGAGAAGGGAATGGTTTAATGGACATGAAGGGTGCAGTCTAATGAATGAGAAGGGAATGGTTTAATGGACACGAAGGTCGCGGTGTAATGAATGAGAAGGTAATGGTTTAATGGACATGAAGGGTGCGGTGTAATGAATGAGAAGGGAATGGTTTAATGGACAGGAAGGGTGCGGTCTAATGACAGAGAAGGGGATGGTTTAATGGACACGAAGGGTGCAGTCTAATGAATGAGGAGGGAATGGTTTAATGGACATGAAGGGTGCGGTGTAATGAATGAGAAGGGAATGGTTTAATGGACATGAAGGGTGCGGTCTAATGAAAGAGAAGGGATGGTTTAATGGACATGAAGGGTGCAGTCTAATGGATGAGAAGGGAATGGTTTAATAGACACGAAGGTCTTGGTCTGTTGGATAAGATGGTAATGGTTTAATGGACATGAAGGGTGCGGTCTAATGAATGAGAAGGGAATGGTTTAATGGACACGAAGGGTGCGGTCTAATGAAAGAGAAGAGAATGGTTTAATGGACACTAAGGGTGCGGTCTAATGAAAGAGAAGGGAATGGTTTAATGGACACGAAGGGTGCAGTCTAATGAATGAGAAGGGAATGATTTAATGGACATGAAGGTCGGGGTGTAATGAATGAGAAGGGAATGGTTTAATGGACATGAAGGGTGCAGTCTAATGAATGAGAAGGGAATGGTTTAATGGACACGAAGGGTGCGGTCTAATGAATGAGAAGGGAATGGTTTAATGGACATGAAGGGTGCGGTGTAATGAATGAGAAGGGAATGGTTTAATGGACATGAAGGGTGCAGTCTAATGGATGAGAAGGGAATGGTTTAATGGACATGAAGGGTGCAGTCTATTTGATGAGAAGGGAATGGTTTAATGGACACGCAGGATGCGGTGTAATGAATGAGAAGGGAATGGTTTAATGGACACGAAGGTCGTGGTCTATTGGATAAGATGGTAATGGTTTAATGGACACGAAGGTCGGGGTGTAATGAATGAGAAGGTAATGGTTTAATGGACATGAAGGTCGGAGTGTAATGAATGAGAAGGGAATGGTTTAAGGGACACGAAGGGTGCGGTGTAATGAATGAGAAGGGAATGGTTTAATGGACATGAAGGGTGCGGTGTAATGAATGAGAAAGGAATGGTTTAATGGACATGAAGGTCGGGGTCTAATGAATGAGAAGGGAATGGTTTAATGGACACGAAGGGTGCAGTCTAATGAATGAGAAGGGAATGGTTTAATGGACACATAGGTCGGGGTGTAATGAATGAGAAGGGAATGGTTTAATGGACATGAAGGTCATGGTCTAATGGATAAGATGAAATGGGCGTGGTAAAAGATATATTATGGGCGTGGTCAAAGATATAAATAGAAACGGTTTAATAGATACGGAGGGTAAGGCTTAATAGTTACAGTTGACGTGGTCTAATAAGCGTGATCAGCGCGGTTAATAGATATGACGGGATGGAATGAGGGGGAATATTGGGGGGTGAAGTGAATTAATATTCAATGGCATAGACGTAAAACATAAGTATTTATAATACAAGCATAATATACTTGTATGACTTATCGTATCGTTTTGTCGGCGTTTATTTCAATTATAATAATATCTGTTATCGTAATGGTAAGGATATATTTCAATCACAATTCATTAATCCTCTACTTATCGTGAAGATGTTGACGGTATATTTCAACCATAACCCATTAATTCTCTGCTTATCGTGATGTTGACGCTATATTGCAATCATAATCCATTAATTCTTTACTTACCGTGATGTTGACGCTATATAGCAGTCATAATCCATTAATTCTCTACTTACCGTGATGTTGACGCTATATTGCAGTCATAATCCATGAATTCTCTACTT